AAAAAACCCGTCAAGATGCATAAACACAAGAAAACTCTTTCATTTTACTTAAGAAAATAAGGTTAAAATATCATCTTGTGTCTTTAGTGCCTCCTTAAATACCCCAGAAAAGGTGAAAAATGATGGACACTTATGCTTTACTATTTCAAATTTTGTTTTCGCTTTTATAATGATGGTGGTTACTTTTAATTCAATATTTGTCTTTAATATGAATAAGCACTTGAGAAAATAACGAGGCGTTAAAATACCCTCTTGAATTTTATTAGCTTTTTTTTAATGCCCGAGAAAAATCTCTACAGTTACATTTCTTTAAAATTCCATTTTTTGTTTTAGATTTTGAAATGATGGTTACTTTTAATGAAATATTTATGTTTATTTTGAACTAAACATTAATAAGAACTTGAAAAAGAGAAAATAACGATGCTGGTGAAATAATCTCCTTAGTTTTAGAACCTTTTTGAATGCCCCCAGAAAAGTTGAAGATACGCATTTGTGACACATATTTTTATCTATTTCAGATTTTGTTTTCGTCTTTTGGAATGATTATTTCTTTGAATTAAATACTTTTCTTTGCTATTATATATTTTTCTTAGATAAACTAGAAAATGAAAGGAAAGAAAGTTTAGGTTGATAAGATACTTATCTGGCATTCTTATTAGGTTGTCTTAGCTAATAAGTGTTGAATAGTTAGAATAATTTTTATCTTTTGATAAAAATTCAGTGATGAAGTAATTATCCATTTTGGCATTATAAACATAAACAGTGCTATATCTCCGCATGCCAATGAAAAAAAAATTTTTTTCCAATTGCCCACTTCACTTCCTTATGATCCTCTAATATTCTTAATTTTCGAAGATGATCTCTATGTGCACCAGACTGTTGTATGGTTCTACTCGTCCTCTGAGTTAGTTTGCGGCAAGTGCGCAAAGAGACAAGTTCTGTTTCGTTGCAAGTTTGAAAATGTATATCTGTTATATTTAATTATCTTTTCTTTTATATTTTCATTCTTTATGTTTTCATTAACAGACTTTTTTGCTTAAAACATTATGAATAGCAGTTTTAGAACGTTTAATTAACTCACATATTAACGTTCCGAATTAGCCATTAAAAACCAACATTTTCGAACTTCGGTAATTCTTACACGCGTATTAATGAAAATTTTCTTACGAAAACTAATAGTTCTCCTTTTCTTTATATTATCGTCTGCGTTTTCTGAGATGCTAAGTTACAGTTTTCATACGATTTTCAAGAAAAAAAATTATTAGGTTTTGATAACTCAAAAGATTTTAAAGAAAGAAATAGGTGAACTCATATTTATGTAATAATCGTTTGCTGTGTGAATCTAATTCAATTTTTTTCGCTTTTTGATTTGAGAAAAAAAACATACAGTAAAATAAAAAAAATGGACCACTTTTAATAACTTTTGATCTAATTATCGGATCTACACGTTCTAGGACTCATTCTTAATGATTCGAGGGGTTGACCTCCAAAATGCTAATTAATTAGTGCAGACGATATTTTAAGTTATGATTTTCGCTACAAAATTAGTAATGTAATTTCTTCCTCCATAAATTGCTGAATAAATAACTGATTTATTAATATAAAATTTGTGCACAGTTATTTGCATTTGATTTTTCAATGCAAAATAAACTAGTAATTCTAAAGTGTACTCAAAATTAAAAAAATATCTTCTGTATGTATATAAGTCTTTATACATTCTCCAAAAAAATCAAAACATTCAACAAATGAGTCGACTGAATTTAGAGTTAATGTGCATGTTAAATATGTGAAATGTGGAGGACATTCGATTCCGCACTTAGACGGGGCAATTCATTTCATCTGTAGAGATTAGCTAGAGTTTCGTCAGATCTGTGCACTTAATAGCTGCAACATGCACTTCGTTTGCTGTTAAAAGGATAGTTGAAATATAAAGTAATTTGATTATTCCTTTTTATTCTAAGAGGAATAACTTCCAGAAAACTGGTGCTGGGTGATATCAGAACTATTCTTCGGCAGAAATCGTGATACGTCATAATTTTTTTTAAAAAAAGAATACTTTTAATAATCACAATTTTAAAAATATTTGAGGAATTATAAGGAAATGTAGAATATGTAAACTAAAAGTTTTAAAAAACTCGGTATTCATACATAAATTGCAACAATGACAATCGAAACAGCGAAGTTCATTCGCCAATATCCTTGAAGATTTACTTTCCTCTTTTCGGAAGTGGGTTTTACTCAATCGAATCGTGATAGAGTTGATATTTATCGTGTATCGATATTGATGGAGTGTCGGCATTTTTCGGTAGTTATCGTTTATTAACATCCGTTGATCATTTTCGATATTTATCGAGTGAACCTATTTTTTGATAAATATCGTGTGTCAGTATTTACCGAGTTCACGATATTTTGTGAGAATATAATTTTACTTCCACTATAATTAAAAACGATATTTCACGATATACCAATACATTGTTCCAGGACTAAAGAGAAGGGATGGTTCACTCCTTTGAAGAAAATCTCGCCTCGCCAAGCCTGCGATTTTCCCCTGTGACGTCACGGCGGAGCAAAGGTTGAACTTATAATTTAAGAACAGAGCGTTCGGCCTGACTAGCTCTAACTAATAGTGGACATTCTTTTTTGTGGCAGATTCTAAGACACTCGTTGTTTTTTTATAATGATTTTCTTCAGTTTTTGTAGTGAATTTAAAAAATTTAAAATTGTTAACGAAGTGCCAATGTGCGTGATTGCAACTCGTGAAAATTGCAAAACTGCATTGCTCAATTGGAACGTACAAAACTTTTATATTGCAAAGCTTTTTTTAGTTGCAAAGTATTTATCTTGTCATTTACAACAACTAGTGAAAAACTTTTTTGCAATAAATAATAAATATAAAATATTAGTTTAAAATCGCATTTTTTATTCATATTATGACCAAGAATTTTTTTTTGAACTGAAATAATGTGCTCATGGTGTAAAGTTTGAATCTAGAAAAGTCGAACTTATTTTTACAGGAAGAATGGAACATAGTTTTCATAATATCTTTGTTCGCGATCTCCGATATCTGTGTGCGGATTGAAGTCATTAGGAGGAAAATGTAGCTTCAGCTCTAAGAGAAGAATGAACCAACCCTTCTGTTTTCTTTAGCCCTGATAATAACCCAGTTCTAAAAAAAAAGAAAATAATTCTTCCCTATTCAGATAATAATCCAACAAACCTTCCTTTCCGAGTCGCCAACAGAAAAGATGAAATAAAAATGGAAGCCAACCGCAAACCTCTGCTCGTGAGGTCAAGAAGCGTCGCCAAAACATTAGATATATCAACGCACGAAGACAGATACTTCTGAGATATTTCTAGCAAACACTGGTTTCCCCACCCCTCCTCATTCTTCTATCAGTCGTTGTTTGCTCTCGGCTATCTGATAAAAGTACCCTCCCACGGTTCATTGATTTATTTTCCTTCCAGAAATAAAACGAAGAAATGATTTGTGTGATGGAAAAGATGATTTGGATGCGAGACTAAATTGTCCATTTCTGCTTTTTATTTGTTCGAATTTGGCGGTACAAACATCAGATAGAATGAATGTATCATATTTGGCGATGGTTTAAGAAAAAATAAATCCATTAACTGCTATTAGAGTGTTTACTTTTTCAATCGTCGAAGGGGTTGTTATGACCATAGGGGAAATCTTGAATTTCACATACACATAAGTGATTAAAAACTTCAAGTAACGATAAAAGTGAATTCAAGAAAGTAAATAATGAAGTTATAATGGCTGATTTTTTATTCTCTAGAATAAAATGTAAACAAATAATGAAAAGATACCCTACCTTCATTTATTTGCAATTTGATATTCAGGAGGGGAAAAAAACTTAAACACTTAAAATTTTAGGATTTAATTTAGGTTTACATGAATTTAATTTTTTTTTCTTATTTTAAATGTTAAAACGCCAATGGAAGTGAAAACATTTTGTCAGGAAAAGTTTCGCCTGTGATCAAGCTTCTACCGGATTACTCTCATTTTCGTTAGATGGAGAAGGAAACCTCGAAAAACGTCCCACGGCAATCCCGATCCATTCACCACTGGGTATATATGACGTCATGCTGATATTTCATTTCGGTTTTTTGGCTGCCTGAGCCGGAAGCGTCATTCGTATCTATCAGTCATCGCTGGGATTCGAACCTGAGTGGTGGCCAGTGCTCAAATATCGCGACTCTTCTATTTATACGAGAGAAATTTTGAGAAATATTTTACCTATTTATAATAATTCCCTCAAAGAGACACGTGACTTTAGTATCAATATGCAAAAGTTTAAAGATAAAGCGTTACTAATTTCAGTGATTAAATTTAAGTGATAAGGGACATCACGACTGGCGAGTTATCATAACAATAGTGTTCACACGTGATGGAGTCAAAACGCTATCAATGTGATTGATGACAGTTGAATTCTGTATTGACTATTATTTTTAGGGTTATACATGGGGATATTTTTCTCTGATAAGGTAGTGAGATTTATGACGTAATATTTGTCAACTTGATTTTAAATGATTTCGGCATACATGATTTTCCCATAAGTTAAAATGGTTTTGAAATCTATTGAGACTAGTGGAAGAGACTCATAAAGAATAGCCACTGTAGTGTATAGCTACCACTACAAAATTATAATTCCTATTTTTTAGTACTATATAAGACATGTTAACTCGATTCTACGGTGGGCTACCTTTTCACAGGTTGACAGTGTCGGTAACTCTCCACATGGATAACCTTCGGATGTGATGTGAACACTTCTATCTAAACAAGCCTACTTCGATGGATGTTTCACACCGAACTTTGCTACTTGCGCCACCTCCTCGCGTCGTTGCTTCTCAGTCTGGATCACGCACAACGTATTTACCCGACTGCTAAAAGCAACACAGGAGCGACCGTGAACTTAATACAGCTCTCCCGTCTTTTCACAAGACATGTTAACTCGATTCTGCGGTGGAGTACCTTCTCATAGATGAAGATTGACATTGTCTATACAGCTCTTCCCACATGGGTGACGCGGACGGGATATGAACCCATGACAGAAACTACCACTTCTATTGGAACACGCCTACTTCGATGGAGGGTCCACATTGAACAGTTGACTCGTAACTGCGACACCTCCTCGAACTGTTGCTACTCAGTCTCGATCACACATACAACGTATTCACTCGACTTCTAAAAGTCAACACAGGCTCGACCACGACTTCAATTCGTACGGTGGTCTTAATACAGTTCTCTCGGCTTCTCACAAAAACCGCACTGAATCAACTAGTGGTATCCGTTCATCGAGATCTATCACAATTATATTTCTGGTGGGGGAGTACTGTAGTGTATATCTACCACTACAAAATTGTAATTCCAATTCACTAGTATATAAGACATTCTATGATGGGGGTACATAGATGAAGGTTGACAGGGCACAGACAAACATATTCTAATCCTTGTTGTTTCAGATTTGCATTGTGCAGAACTGGGTCCAATGGAGAACGGACAGTTCAAAGTGACCGGAGATCATTTTGGTGCCAGAGTTATGTATTCATGTGAAGAGGGATACTGGATGTCCGGACCCAAAGAGAGGGTGTGTCAAGGAGACGGATCATGGAGCGAACACTCACCAGAATGTCGACAAAAAGGTTCTTTTCTTTTTATACTGCAATTTTAATAATATTGATTTTAATCTACTTATAGTTTCATTGAAAGCATCATGAATACCTGGTTTGAGATAATTTTATAAATACTAATTATTTGACATGCTGACCTTATAGCTTAGCATCAGTGTTTCCCAAAGTGTGGTACGCGGACCCCCGCAGTTTAGCGGGGGTACGCGTTCTTATGCGAAATATCTTGCAACAAACGAAATTGTAAAAATTATTTATTTAAAAACAAAGCTAGCCATGAAAATTTACGATGACGTGCTTTTCTATTGGCTATTTTTCGCAGAGTTAACAGTTGATAATGAGTGGTGTTAACAACCAGTTGTGATTTTTAGCTTTATGCAATTTTTTTAATTGTAAAAAATACATTCATTTTCTTATGAGTGGTACACAGCCTTGCAAAAAATTTAGAAAGGGTGCACAAAAGTCAAAAGTTTGGGAAATACTGGCTTACCTGATGGAACATGGATTACACCGCTATTAATATTTAATAGAACGATCCTAAACATCACCATCTTTTAAATAAGTGGAAAAAAAATTTATGAATGAGAAAATTTCAAACGTTCCTCTGGAATGAATATAAATGTTTGAGTCGTGAACTAAAATGACCTCTCTGCACACATTTCAGGAATGATAAGAGAGACTCATAATATCTTGCATTGCATCACTAAATCTGTTTACTCCATTTTTCATATTAGATTCTATTTAAGGCAACTGAAATGAAGTGTATCTTAACACCGAGAGTGTATATTTATTGTTTATTTATACCTCGACCCACCCTATTCAGGGCACACGAGAGTAGAACAAGCATTCTACTGACAAAACATACATAAAACACAAAAAATTACATTAGCAACAAGTATAAATGACATGTAAAGAATAAATTAAATTTTGAAAATATTTACACTATAAAATACAAGGCATAGAGAAATGCCTAAAACAAAAAGCATAGAAATTAATTTTAACTTAATAATAATGAAATTACATGGCAGATAAGTAACTGCAAAACATAAGAAGATTATTTTGACAGCTGTCGAAAGTGTAAGGCTCTCAAGGAAACTGGATAGCAAGAAATTTGAAAGGAAATATGAAATAAGAAAAATAAAAATAAGAGTCGTCTACAAAAAGTCTGCAATGAGGAAAAAAATGTTTATAGAGTTTCTCTAGCGATAGGTATATTCAACAAACATATGTGAATAGATTGAGAAGAAACTGAGAAGTTATAGCTAGAAGGTGGTAACAGTTAATAATCATTAGAACGTGATCGTAATTCAAGGAGGGCCTGGCGATGCGCAGGGCAAGTGATGTCTGAGGCTTGATGATAAGGATTATGGCTGGTTCCAAAAAAGGTATTGGTGTGCCAGCAGTTGATGCAATATTTTTTGTCGGAGTGACAATCTTTTGTGTGATGGTCGCCTCCGCAGTTAGAGCAAGTGGCGAATTCTTCAGTGCAAGAGTGGGTGGAATGATCAAGACCTTGACACCATGAGCAGCGTCGGAGTAGATTTCTTTTTTTGATAATGCTTCTGTTAAGGCCTATATAGATGTGTTTTGTCCTCAGGAGTTGTTGAGCAAGTTTAACATTGACAATGAGATGTTTTTTGTCAACATGTTTTTTGTGAGGTATTGACTTTGTTTAGGTGATGGTATTATTGTCAAATGATGATTCTCTGAAATGCTGGAGGATGTTGGATATACTGTTGCCATCAAAGAGAGCTGGTGCATTCAGAATTATAAGTGAGGTAAGGCGTTGTTCTTTGTCGTGGAATTCGAGCTTATTTTTGATGCTATTTGTTAATTTAGTCTTTGCCTCATGATCGTGAAACTTAATTTCGACGAAATTCTTTGTCTTGAAAACCTTCTTCACAATTGGTAGCGTTGTAGAATCATTTATGATTTTGATGATGTCATCACCAGATCTGTCGTCTTCAGCAGTGATGATAATAGGTGCGGGAGGAAGCTGTCTCTTGGCGATTTCGCTATAAGTTGGAGTATGGCAAGATTGTTTAAGCTCATCTAGCTGGTCTGATATCCTAATAATTTGTCGCTCTAAGTTCTTAATATGTGTTGGATCAACTTTATCTGAGAGTGTAGAAATACGATGATCTAGTTTTTCTAGTTG